GTAGTGAGTTTGTGTGTGTCAGTGAGCTTGTTCACTCCCCACGGCGGCTAGCTTCATTGTTTCCTGCAAGACTTAGCAAATCCCAGGCGCAAGGGTGACTGGCGCAAGGGATTTGTCGAGCCCTGTGTATGTATGTATGTGTGTGTGTGTGTATTTATGTATATATATATATATATAGTGTTCAAGTAGAGAGATTGTAGCCATATTAGTCCACTAAAAAAGTTATTACAAGATACAAATATTATCATTTTTTTACACACACACATACATATATATATATACAAGATATATATATATATATATATATATATATATATATATATATACAAATACAATTAATGAAGGCTTGCACTCACAGTCTTTTCTTCATAAAAGTTTCCTTTATTTCATTCCATTAAAATATGATCAACGTGAGGGGGGCGTGGCTAACTGCCGACAAGATCACATGGGCTGACAATCTAACTCAATCCTAGCACACAGAACAGCATCAAGACCCCACCTCAGAAAATGTCACACAACAAAGGGAAAAAGAACACAACAAAAGCAGAAAAAAATTAATTTCTTCAACCAAAAAATGCAGCAGACGAACTCAGGCCTACAAACTGCCGATCAAGATGGCGACGACGGCTCTGAAGACGATAGCACACCACAAAACCGGCCCGAAACCGGAGAAACCTGGACAAAAGGCTACTTAGCTCAAGCCTTGGAGAATCTCTCCCAAAAGCTAATTGGTTCGTGGTAAAATACTGTGGAGTCCCTATGCAAGGATGTCCAAGACATAGGCAACAGAATATCACATATGGAATCCAAAATGGACGAAGTCGCAACAGCACATAATGACTTAGCATCCCATGTGGAAAGTTTGGGAGAAAAACTGCTACTCACTGAAGCCAAGCTGGCAGACATGGAGGATAGGTCGTGGTCGCGAAACAATCTGAGGCTGCGGGGCGTGCCAGAATCGGTGCTCCCGGATGATCTACAGGGATATGTGCGAGGTATGCTGCACGCCTACACTCCTGAAGTCCTGACTGATATGTTGCTGCTGGATAGGGTGCACCGGGTGCCTCGCTCGTGCCATCGTCCAGACTCCACACCCAGGGACATCCTGCTGCGCGCCCATTACTATAATTTTAAAGAACACATCCTACGCGCCAGCAGCAACAAGCCTAAACCGCCAGAAGACAGCCCCAAGCAACAGTTAAACCGCATCAGCAGATACATGAGGGAAAATGCAAGTATTGCATACAACTCACTTATCACACTCAGGCATATCGCCACTGAAAGGGCATAATGAGTCTAAAACACTCCACCCTTCTCTGACACAATTCACGCACCAATGGCCTGAACACACTGAGACTCTGCTCCACCAGCCTTGGGAGGCTGAATCATCAATATGCACATGAACAGTGGACACCACGGTCCAACAAAAACCCATTGTCACACAATGCTACAGCATATTCCTTTGCTTTTTATTTTATTTTCCTTTATGTTGATTACACCAGATGAACGTAGTACGTGAAAATGTATATGTCCACAGGGTGCCCCTAACACATGTATGAATGTCCCCACTGGCACGATGATGACGAACACATTGAACGAGAAGGGACATTTGTGGACAACCTGGGGCTCGAAGGGGTAGGGTGTGAGAAAACTCATTAATTCTCAATTGAGCTTTTTGAGACTGGGTGGTGGGGGCCTCGGTGCCTTTCCTCCGCCGTCTCCCCTGTCAGTGGGGGGGGGAGCGCAGGGTGCCTCGCGGCCTGGGTTAAGAGTATCACTTATGCATGGGATGCAGAGGTCTCATTCAGTGGTTAATCGAATATAACAATAATGCATGGGGTATTAACATACGAATATTGACACCCCGGAATATTGTCGCCAAAGATGACCAATGAATGATCGCATGACTAAGAGTGGTGGGAGACTAGCGGGGAGCCCACCTGTAGAAGAAGTACAGTCGAACAGGTCTAGGTAGAGGGGAGAACCCCCAAAGCACTACTCAGCCCTTTAAAATGCCGAATATGACCTTAGAGGTCTAATAATAATTAGCAGCAATCTTGTGAGCTATTGCAGAAAAACCCCACACGATAGCCCCTCATGTAAAACTGCCATCTAAGATGTTTCTAAACCTGCAGCTAAGTTTAACCTTCTTTTTCTTAAAAAACTGTTTGTAGAAAAAAAAAAAAAGTATATAGGTTCTGTTCAACCTAAAAGGGGGAAAAGCTCAGCCCATATGCCACACTAATGTTTCCAAACCCCACGGTTCACAACTGTTGCACTAGTTCTCCACGACAGGGAACATGTATATACCCAGTTTTTAACCCTACCCCCACCACCAAACCCAAGTTATACACCCCCCAGGTCGAGGCACACTCAACTATAAACAACACACTAACAATCACTCCTCTAGCAATCACACAGTTAAAACAACCTGAAGATACAAACCATTAACGCGTGCGGTTTAAACACACAGCACAAACGACGTGTCCTCATGCACATAACTAGAAAAGAAAGAATAGACATACTTTGTGTTTAAGAAACACATTTCCCGCATACTAAGATCCCCACATTTGCGCTACGGGAATACTCTACTCAATATCATTCCACATATTCCACTAAATCCAGAGGAGCTTCAATACTCATACATAGATCACTATCATACAAACTACTCCAAGTTAAAAAGGACACCCAAGGCAGATACATCATACTCCATTGTATTATAAATGACATAAAATACACGATAATCTTTGTATATAGCCCCAACACCAATTAGAGGAACTTTTTACACAAAGTTCTAACTAAAATTCCGAACCCACAATTACAAAATTTAATTCTCTGTGGAGATCTCAACCACATTCTGGACCCACACCTGGATACGACAGTACTGAGAGACACTAGGAGACATGCTGCCCTGAAGCCCCAGTGTAAATCTCTAACAAAACTGCTTCTGGAATTAAATATCTACGACACATGGGGCGCAACACACCCGAACAATCTTGAATACATGCAGCATTCAAGGGTCCACAAAACTAGCTCCCGTATTGACTACATTCTAGTAACAGCAAATGTCCTCACCTCAATCACAGAATGTAAAATTGTAGACATAACATGGTCAGACCATCCGCCTACAGCTTTGACACTACAAGACAAATTCCAATTTCGGGGAACCTCGTCCTGGAAACTGAACGACACTATTTTACACAAACAACCTTTCAAGGAATCACTAGAAAGGGAAACAAATATCTACTTTAAAACAAATTGTACACCCCAAACACAACCCCAAAATACATGGGTAGCATATAAAGCAGTAGTAAGGGTATTAATCATCAGTCGAGCACCATACCTGAAAAAAACAGCACAAAATGATTATACCTCGTTACTTAAACTACTCAGAGACCAAACGAGCAATACAAGATTTCCAAGCCCATCTCCCCACGATTAGCCCAGCACAGCAAGCAGTGATCCAAAGTCCGATCACCCGTACAGAAATAGAAAAAGCCATTGCTTCTCTACCAAAGGGAAAATCACCAGGCCCAGACGGCTTCACGAATTTGTACTACAAATGCTTTAAATCCAACTTATCACCTCACCTAGAAGAAACGTATAATGCTATCATAAAAATAGGCCACATACCATCGGAAATGTTAAAGGCCCACATAGCCACACTACCCAAACCAGGAAAACCACCCAACAAACCACAAAACCTAAGATCCATCTCCCTATTAAACACAGGCACGAAACTCCGAGCGGAAATATATGCAAACAGACTCTCAACCATTATTCCCTCAGTGATTCACAGAGACTAAGTAGGATTTGTAAAGGGAAGGCAGAGATCGGATGGATCAAGGAAATTTTGAATCTAATGTCAAAAGTGCGAATCTTGGGAAAACCCAGTGTGTTTATTTCACTAGATGTTGAAAAAGCATTTGATAGGGTGCACTGGGGATTCCTTGAATCCGTGCTAAGAAAACTCAATTTCCCACCAAATTTCATGTCACTAATAAAAGCAATGTATTCAGTCCGATCGGCCCGTGTAGCTAATAGTGGATTCACATCAACGGAATTTAGAATCACAAATGGATCACGCCAGTGGTGCCCACTGTCCCCACTGCTATACATCCTGGTCTTAGAACCCCTAGCGCAACACATACGGGGGAACACGGAATTCAAGGGAATAAAAATAGGAAACACAGAGCATAAACTTACAATGTTCGCGGATGACATCATGCTATCCATTGAAGCCCTGAACACGACACTCCCACACCTACACAACCTACTTACCAAATACAGTGCATGCTCATACTACAAACTCAACATCACGAAAACACAAGTGATGGGTATGCACATACCGCCACAATCCTTACAAGACCTGAAATCAAGCTATGCATATGAATGGCGCAAGGACCATCTAATATTCCTAGGTGTAGCCTTCACGTCAGCTTCACATGCTCTGATGCCAACCAACTACATCAAACTTGTAAATAAACTAAAGAGCCAAATTGCGGGGTGGAAGGGCAAGTATGTCTCCTGGCTAGGTCGCATAGTGGCTACAAAAAAGATACTCCTACCTAAGCTCCAGTACTTGTTCCGTACCTTCCACATAAAACTCCCCAAAATTTTCCTACGTGACACACAAGCCATGCTCAATGCATTCCTATGGAATAACAAAAAAACGAGGGTGGCGACATCCACACTATATAAAACTTTCAAGAAAGGGGGTTCAGGGATACCACACCTTGACACATACTACTCAACTTCGATCCTTAGTCCTCTTACCCTGGCATTTCATCAAGAGCCACAACCAGAATGGCTCAAAATAGAGGGTGCATACACAGAAGGCAACGATTTAACTGCACTGCAGGCAACGATTTAACTGCACTGATCTGGATACCATGCCATATTAGACATACAAAGAAATGCTGCCAACAACCAGGCTAACTTTGTCCATATGGGACTCACATAGAACCAAATCATGGCCTTCGCCTCACCCGTCACCAGCTATGAAGCTCCAAGCCCTCACGACACTCATACCCCAATTCAATGCCAAAGAATGGGCCAATTATGGCATCACATCCCTACACCAGATAGTTGATAACAACAAACTAATCCCATTTGCACACCTGCAGGCTAAACTTAAAGTACCAAAACCCCTGAACTTCATGTACATACAAATACAGTCATGGTTCCGCAAACACTATCCCCCGAACACCACACTCAGGCAAGACTGGCAATTATCACCTCTTGAGCAACTATGTATACAAAGCAAGCCTCCTCCTAAACTCATATCCCAATTGTACAACATAATTATCCAAAGACTTTACACTGCAAAGCCCTCTTTCATCTCAGCCTGGGAAAGAGACCTCCAAAAGAAACTGGAAGAATCTCAATAGGCCCGCATATTTACGGCAAATAGAAACTTAACACTATTCACTACACATGTAGAAATGTCTAGAAAGTTGCTTTATCGCTGGCACTTAGTTCCTACCAAGTTAAAGCATATAAATAGTGATGTCCCGAACGGTTCGCCGAACGGTTCGCCGCGGTCGGCGAACATATGCGGTAAACTTTGACCCTGTACTTCACAGTCAGCAGACACATTCCAGCCAATCAGCAGCAGACCCTCCCAGGCCCTCCCACCTCCTGGACAGCATCCATTTTACATTCATTGTGAAGCTGCATTCTTAGTGAGCTGTCCAGGAGGTGGGAGGGTCTGGGAGGGAGGGTCTGCTGCTGATTGGCTGCTGACTGTGAGGTACAAGGTCAAAGTTTACCGCATATGTTCGCCGTCTGCGGCGAACCGTTCGGCGAACCATTCGGGACATCACTACATATAAACCTTCGAACCTCAGGGAAATGTTGGAGATGCAAAGATCAACCAGGCACAGTGTACCACATATGGTGGTCCTGCCCGAAAATAACACCATTCTGGACACAAATCTCAAAGCTAATAACAGAGTCCTCTAAAATGGTAATGCCTCTCCAACCCGAACAATATTTGTTACAACTTTTCCCACAAAACATAACAAAAACCGCAAGATATCTGATTTATCACATACTCATAGCGGCACTGCAAACGATCAGTAGAAACTGGTTATCACCTCACATCCCGAAATTAACGGAATCCCCCCAAATTGTAAAAATGAATAGAGAGAAAGTAGAGAGGTTGCTAAATTTTAATGGGGGGTAACCCCTACACGTAAATTACTAATAAGAAAGGAAATACATACAAGAGTTCCAAAAAGTAAAAGAAAACATTTCTAACAGCATTCACTTTAAGGATCTTGTATATTATCAGCAACCCTAATTAATCATCTCAGAAAAAAGATAAAATATAACTTTTAATTTATAAAGGTAAAATAACTGTAAGAGTAAACTAATATCTAAAAACATAAGAGGTACAAAAACAGGAGAAAGTGATAGTTTGACCGTGCTGCCTATATCAATTAGCAACACCAGTGGTACAGGGGTACAGGGGGTATTAGTGTAGAGACAATAGACAATAATTTACCTTAAATAATTGTATCTCAATCTCTAAATTGAACTTTAATCACATACAGGAGGCTCTTGCAGGGTCTAGCAAGCTATTAACATAGCTGGGGATAAGAAAATCTTAATTAAACAGAACTTGCAATAAAGAAAGCCTAAATAGGGCTCTCTTTACAGGAAGTGTTTATGGAAGGCTGTGCAAGTCACATGCAGGAAGGTGTGACTAGGGTTCATAAACAAAGGGATTTAACTCCTAAATGGCAGAGGATTGAGCAGTGAGACTGCAGGGGCATGTTATATACACCAAAGCTGCTTCATTAAGCTAAAGTTGTTCAGGTGACTATAGTGTCCCTTTAATGAATTGTAAATGTAACTAAAAGGATGTTGCAATTTTTGTCTCAATTTATCTCAAAGTAACTAATTAAAGTTATAGAGGAATAGGTTTTGTAATAAGAGTCCATTCATATAGAAAACAGCCCAATTTGTTTTAATGTGACTAGTTATAGATGGGGTTAAATCTGTAGAGGAATAGGCTTTGTAATAAAAACATCCATATAGAAACCAGCACATGTCATAACTTTTAAGGTTGAAATAGAGATACAAAGTCCCATTATCACCCATGATCGGTGAGAAATATTAGAAACCACTGATTGATTCTATCATTAAAAATTATGGTTAATTCTTTTTCCCATAATTAGGACATCTATATTTACCTTATGTATATATATTTGTATTATAACATTACTATCTGTATATACTCTAAACACACTGTATATTTATACTCACCTACTGTATTTTTGTATTTCAATACTACTATCTTTATATACTATATATTTTTACAAATCTATACAGGACATATTTGGTAATTAATGTATATAATATTAACGTAGTTAAGATACACTCAGGGGTTATGACTGACAACGAGATTCTGTACCTTTAGTTGTGTTTTTTATTTTTTTTTAAGTGTCATTTATGTTGTTCCTTATATTAAGACACGTCTAGTAGATATGGGTAACAATGGCAACTATGCACTTACATATGAATCACTGTAATTACAGTTTGTGCATTTCCTTCTGTCATGATATATCCAGCGATCATGGGTGATAATGGGACTTCGTATCTCTATTTCACCCATAAAAGTTATGACATGTGCTGGTTTCTATATGGATGTTTTTATTACAAAGCCTATTCCTCTACAAATTTAACCCCATCTATAACTAGTCACATTAAAACAAATTGGGCTGTTTTCTATATGAATGGACTCTTATTACAAAACCTATTCCTCTATAACTTTAATTAGTTACTTTGAGATAAATTGCAACATCCTTTTAGTTACATTTACAATTCATTAAGTATTTGCTTAGGAGTTTCCGAGGCAGACCTGGTCTGTTATAACTATACGAGACTTTAATGTACTCATTAAATTCATAGTTATTGTATGAGCGTTTAATATTATATCACTCATTAATTTCATTGTTTGGCTAAAGTTTTTTCTTTATTATTTTTCTAACATTGCAGTACATTTAAATATTAATGACATTGATTATTCATTATTTTTATCTTATTATTATCATTAATTTTTTATTTTTTGTATACCTGAACACAAAGGGTTAATTCCTCTCTCTATTTCCCTCAATCATGTTGGTGAAAAAATGAACCAATCAGGATGGAGGGCGGGATATTTAAAAAAACGATCAGCTTTGATTCGGTTCCCTTGGAAGAGCCGCTAGTCGCAGGACTTTTGATAGCAAAAGGGTGGAGGAGGTTGATAGGGGACTAAGCTGCAGCCTTTAGATTAATTTTCCTCGGTGCTAGCCACCCAGCTAAATTATTTCACTATGCTTAGTCAGGTAGCCATTTAGATTGATCGGATCCTGTTGAATTATAGAGGGGAAGGAGAGTGTGCTGCCAGTGTGGGCAAGGGTGATGGGAGTTGGGGGATATTCTTTGGAGAATTCTTACTATACCCTTTTTTATTGTCTCTACACTAATACCCCCTATACCCCTGTACCTCTGGTGTTGCTAATTGATATAGGCAGCACGATAAAGCTATTGCTTTCTCGTGTTTTTGTACCTCTTATGTTTTTAGATATTAGTTTACTCTTACAGTTATTTTAACTTTATAAATGAAAAGTTATATTTTATCTTTTTTCTGAGATGATTAATTAGGGTTGCTGATAATATACAAGATCCTTAAAGTGAATGCAGTTAGACATTTTTTCTTTAACTTTTTGGAATTCTTGTATGTATTTCCTTTCTTATTAGCACCCAAATTGTAGAATCATCTAAACAATACGAAACCATGGAAAACAGGGCCCACACAAAAATTCTGGGTAGAGTCTTGGGAATTGTGGGATGAATATAATGGGCAAATAACCCCAATCACCGCAAATTAAGAACCAAGTGGAAAGCCGACCCCAACTGAAACCAAGAGTTAAACCATAAGACCTATTTACCTCGACTACATCCCCCTCTGTTACACTACGTTTTTAAAAATGTGCAAAGTGCAGCGGAATTACCAAATGGAAAGTAACTACACAAAGTAGGATAATAAATGCAAATATTTGTGATAAATGTATGATAAATAATCAGCCTGCATATAACTGTTCAAGAAAGTAACAGTACGATGTTGATGGAAAATTTCTATACGTTGTAACTTTGTACTATCCTAAAAATTGCTAATAAAAAAAGTAAAAAAATATGATCAATGTTTCAGCCATCGTCCGTGGCTTTCATCAGGATCAATACAGCACGGACGATGGCTGAAACGTTGATCATATTTTAATGGAATGAAATAAAGGAAACTTTTATGAAGAAAAGACCGTGAGTGCAAGCCTTCATTAATTGTATTATAACTTTTGGCAATGGCTAGAATGCAACTGGCATTTTGAATAAGATAAAGGCTTATAAGTGTGTGTGCAAGGAGTAAAAGGAACTTTATATATACAAATATATATATACAAACATATATACATGTTTTCTAACTGCAGAGTGTGGGTGGGGGCACTGTGTGTGAGGGTTACAGTGTGTGTGTGTGTGTGTGTGTAGGAGCAGTGTGTGTGTATGGGGAGGGGCAATATCTGTGTATGGGGGGAGTTATGTGGGGTGGGAGGGCAGATTAATAAATATATATTTGTTGTTTTTTTAAATTAAAACAATAAAAAAAACTATAATTTTCATATCCCCCCTCCCAGTTTACCTTTACCTGGGAGTGGGGACAGTACAAGGCAATCCCTGGGGGTCCGGTGGGAAGCCCCGGCTGTCCTAGTGGTGAGAACTCACCCAGGTCCCCTCTCCCTCCCTTCCCTGCCAGCTGCCAGCTTTACAGTGCTAGTGGGCCAGTGAGGTAGATCTCTGATCTCCTCTCCAGTCCTGCAGAGCCGGCTGGGCAGGGTGAAGCACGGTTCTCAGTGCAATGATCATATGATCATAGCACCAGGGAAACCTTTCACAGTGCCCCTGTATGCCTGTCACACACATTAGGAACCGCTGTTCTAAACTATTCTTTCCGATCAGTGTCAGTATATAAAGGCAGAACAATGAGTCAAGGCACATAAGATAAGGCCAGAGGAGATCTAATTCTTCCCCATGCAGTTAAATTATAAGTTGACTTTAGGTGCCACCCACAAATATTATTAATGATCAAGAATCATTGACAGCCTTTTTAAAGAATTATGGAGAGAGAAGAAATAGCTTTTTCTGTCGAACACTTTTATGCGCAATCATTTTTATGTATTTCTTGACATTTATTCCAGCATAATAGAAAAATAACAAAATATATTGATTTTTATATGAGCAAATAATTTATTATAACAATTTCCAGGTCTGTTTTTTTTTTTATAAGGAAATAAAGTTAATAAATAAAAACACATTTAAAACAATGCATTAATCATACTTCTTTGGAAGTATGAAATCACAGTTTATTACGCAACACAGCGTGTGGACAGTTACGTCTATTTTACTTGAAAATAGAAACAGAACTATTATATGTAAGGCTGTGTTTATATTTCATTCTCTCAACTCTGTAGGTGGTCACATTTATAAAGATGTACAATAATTATCTTCTAACATTATATATAAATCGCTTAACTCTCTGTGTCCATTAAAAACCTAAACTCGCCAAATACCAACTTAAAATGAACTATTATTTATAGTCTTTTAATTTTGCTACAAAAAGAGTAGTCTCATTTCACATTATAACATTATCAATATTTATAGCTTTTATTTGGTTAATATTAAGATTATATAGCTTTATCTATACTATTAAACATAAGCCAAAATATACTGGTACCCAATAGCAGCTGCTGCCTCCTGGGAGTATATCTCCCATCAAACGTGTCCTGGGAGTATAATTCCCATCAAACGTAGGCAGACTGAGACAAAAATGTTCTGGTGATGTCCTGAGATTATAAGAATCCTACCACTAACCATGACTGGAAAAAAAATAATCAAGTATTGTAAAATATACTTAAAACTGAAGCATGGTGTCTCTGGAAACCCTTAATTGTATTGTATTCCCATAATACTTGTTTTACATTTATTTATCCTATACATTGAAAGTACCAGGATTTATGTGATTTAACAATGTTTTAACTTTGTAACTGGATTGAATGTATTGCACATTACAATGACTATTTGCAACAAAAGAACACATTTTAATCTGGAACTGAAAACAAAGTTAGTTCAATTTTCAATTTGAAACAAAAGAACACGTTTTTAAATTGTTTGTATAAAAATCCTCATTTTTCTAGATCAAGGGTATCAGGAGGCAGATCTTGAGCTGTAGTAAAAGTAAAAGCCCTATGATAATTTGCTTTGACTGGCAAAGCAATATTGGAACTGTTCTGCAACAGCAAAGAATCTACTTTTTGGCCACTCCTGCTAGTCCAAAGTCAGTCCAAATTTAAAATGCTGGTCTTTAGAAAACCAACTGCTTTTTACTGAATCAAGCACTAGGGGGCAGCAACAGCGTCAGCAAAGCCTACAGCAAGTAGTCTCTCTACTAGACAATTTAAACTAACATGTGTAGATAAAGTTTAACAGGTGATAGATGTCATGTGAACAGCGGTCTATACATTCTTTCAGGTTTATTAACTAAAGTGAGAATTTAAAGTGTATTCAAAGTAAATTTCTAATTTAAGGCAAAAGTTGCTGAACTGAAACTTTTTTCCAATTCAGTAGTTTTTAACCTTAAATTTGAAATTTACTTAGAATTCACTTTCAATTCTCACTTTAGTGAATGTTTGTACTGTATATGGTATAAAGCGCATTTTCTAGGAGATTTTGCAGGATCTTAAAATTGCCAAAGTCCATATCACTACTAAGATCTTTACAAAAGTAATGAATATTTATAATGAATATAATAATGAATATTTATTTATTTCTGTGGCTTGTTTTTTCTCTTTTTCTTTCCAGTTTCCACTTTCTTTGCAGTTTGTGGCTCGGCTTTCTTGTCCAGTGTTTCAATAGCCTTTTTAACCCATTTTTGGTTGGGATCTGCACAGATGGTTATGTTTTTAAACGTGGTGAACCTGTTCAGATAAGAAAAAAAAAAAAAAAGAATTGTAATTTTGCAAACATTCTTTACCAGGGCTGCGCAGTATGTGTTTTCTGAGTTGAATAACAACTTCAAGGGCAATTTTACTAAGTTAGGTGCATTTTCACCGTTAATTAGTACACAAATATGTCTCTTCTAGGCCTCTATGCTCTGCCCGATACCTCCGTCTAACCTCTATTCGTACTCCTACCTCTGATGCTCGCCTTAAAGACTTCTCTAGGGCTGCACCGTTCTTATGGAACACCCTTCCCCTCTCCATTAGACTTTCACCCAGCCTCCACTCCTTCAAAAAATCTTTGAAAACTTACTTCTTTATGAAAGCATATCAATTAAACTGTTAACTGCTTTTTCTTCCCAGCACCCTGATTCCTCTCCTGTAACTGTCATCAAAACAAAACACTAACCCTCAGTGAATACTATTCTAGCAACCTACTTTTCTACTCTATACTTACCTTTTCTGTCACTACACCCCACTCCCTCTAGCATGGAAGCTCATTGAGCAGGGCCCTCAATCCCTCTGTTCCTGTGCGTCAAACTTGTCTGGTTACAAATACGTGTCTGTTAGTCCACCCACTGTAGAGTGATACGGAACTTGCTGGGGCTTTATAAATAATAAAATAAGAATTACTTCTTCGACATGCAGCCGCAAAGTTAAAATGAGCAAAGACAGAAACTTTTCCATCTCACATTTTGCATGCGAGCATCTCACACTTAATCACTATCAGTCTTATTCACCAAACAGATCATTTAAAGTGAAGGTATACTTTGTAAAACGAGAATAATTCTCTAAGCCAGCAATGCTTACAGTTTGGCTATTTTGGCCTTTTAAATTGCCTTTAGATTTTTACTTTAGTGAATGACCTTTTAAGATTATGTATGAGATGCAGTTTTTTCTTCTTTTGCCACCTGTAACTTTGTGGACGAAGAAGTTAAAAAAGTGTCGGTCGAAGTTTTTCATTGGATTGGATTAGCTAAGGTAACTGATTTTCCCTACTGTAAGTCTCCACCCGGTACGCCATCTAGGTGCCTTCTAGCACTTATGTGCCAATTTGAAATATCTCATCAAATGGTTATTAACATCGATCTTTGCAAATTATGTTTGTGACAAGATAAAAAAAGTTTCAGTTTTGAAGTTTACATTGGATTGTACACATATTCACTTGGTATTAAAAAAAAATGTTTAGCTATGCTTTAGTTTGCTAATGGTTTGATAATCGGATATTACCATTTTATTCAGGGGTAAATTGTGTAGTAAAAGTACACAAACTTATTCCTCTTAATTTATATTATCCTATATTCTATGAGGAGCATTGTGTTGGACCATCGTGGAGGACGTCATGTCCCTTCCATGACATCTTTATAGATGGAGAGGTAAGCCGCACCGAGGAATGCCTCGGTACTGGAAAAAGGTATATAAACCTTTAATTTAATTAAGTATTGTTGTACATAGTGGGTAGGAACCTATATAGAACTAGGGACAGGAACACCATAGCATTAGGAATTCAGGTTTGTATTCCTAATAAATAAAAAAAAATCAAGGGCTGCGCCACAATAAATAGTGAATAAATAAACAATGTCCAATTCCAATAATGAAAGCAAATATAAGAGAAAGTCCAACTTAAGTATTCTCACTGTCATCTTAAAGTGCTGAGTACAGGGCCAAGGTCTTCAGATGTTTATATGGTTCCACTTATATGAAAGATAAAAAAGAGGAACAACCAATAGTGCAATAACGCATTTCGTCAACAGACTTTATCAAATGGAATAAAGTCCATTGGGTTTTATGGAAATTTTATATAGTGTATTTTTGAATTAAAATTTTTGGGTCATTTGTTTGTGCCAATTATCCTTTTTTTATATACACATTTTTTACTTTATCCTGGCCTTTTATTATTCTGCTTTTTACCCTATTTTTTACTACTTTGGTTTTATTACCTCTGGAAGTTTCCTGTACCCCAAGAAATCCTAGGTGGGGATCATTCCACCTATTCTGACACCATAGAGCAGTCGGTCTGCTCTTCACTTGTAAGTACCATTTTAAATTAATTTCCAGTGAGACCGTTAAACAGAGAGCACTATTGGTTGTCTCTTTTATCTTCTCTTTTCTGAGTATTGGACACCAGTGATGGAGAGGTACTCACTACATATCCCATAAGCGGGGATTATACCACTGTACACGCTTTACCCTAGAGCTGGAGATAAGCTCTTATAAATGTGAGTTCTCTACCATTATTTTAATCTGCATTTTTATTTGCGCTATACATATTGCACTATTGGTTGTTCCTCTTTTTTTATCTTTCATATAAGTGGAACCATATAAACATCTGAAGATCTTGGCCCTGTACTCAGCACTTTAAGACGACAGTGAGAATACTTAGGTTGGACTTTCTCTTATATTTGCTTTCATTATTGGAATTGGACATTGTTTATTTATTCACTATTTATTGTGGCGCAGCCCTTGATTTTTTAATTTTTTATTTGTCTTGTTCTATAAGGGTTTTTTTAGGGATTCCATTTTTAAGGATTGCTGCCTGTTGGTTAACCAGCGCTGTCTCTTCTCCTTATCTATTGCACCATTATATTCCTAATACCATAATGTTCTTTAAGATGAAATTGTTTTGGTGCTTAGACTGTTCTCTAATGTTTTAGAACAGTGGACATATCTTAATCGTAAAGTTTCAAAAAGTTTCTGGAATTAATAAAAAGTGTATTGTTATACGTCTATTTGTCATGCAGTTTCTTGACGTTTCCATCGTTTTCTAGTCTGGTTGTATATATTTTAAAGGAAGAAAGAGGAGAGAAGGAGTCTGCGCTAAGTAACAGTAAATGGAAGCAGCAACCCTAACAAGGGAATCCCTCAAAAACCCTTGGTGACAACAGAGAAGAGAAAAAAAGGGGGTAAAGGGCTGCGCTATAAAATGAATAACTTACAATATATAAAAACTGAATCCGTACAGTGATAGAAAGTATAAAAATATATAAAACAAAGTCCATGCGATAGTAGAGATAAAATGATTTCTCTTGCCATTTTTGAAAAAGCCCCTGAGGTGAAATGCGTTAAATGGTTTTATACTGTGTATTTTTAATTATAAATTTTTTTATCTGGTATTCCTTTTTATAGGGCCAATCCTATTTTATTGTATATACACTTTCTTTAAATTTCTTAATTTTCCTGGCATTCTACCGTATCCTGCTCAAGCAATCCAATGTGGGGATTAGTCCACCAGAGCTGCATCTATAGAGCAGTATTTTCTGCTCTATCATTGTGAGTATATTTGTATTATTTTATCCTTTTTACCCTTTCATACTGAGAGCACTATTATTGTCTCCATATATTCTACGGACCACTACGGACACCAAGTTGGACGGATTGATCTACTGCTACCACTTATCCTCAAGGGATTATACCGCTAAGTGCCCCTTATCCTAGAGCTGGTCCAAAGCTCCATCAAATGTGAGTGTACTATCCTCCATTTTTTATTTCACGTATCTTTTAAGTACATACTACACCATTGGAATTTTATTGTGCTTTTATCTTCACATATATGGACTATCTACAACTCGGACGGATCAACTCTTGAGGACTGTACTCACACTTATCCATATACTAGTGAGACGTTATTATATATTTTATTGGACATTTTAACATTTTATCTCTACTGTCGCATGGACTTTGTTTTATATATTTTTATACTTTCTATCACTTTACGGATTCAGTTTTTATATATTGTAGTATATATTTTAAGCACAAGCACAGGTATTTTTTTCGAATTCATAAATTCATAAATTTCATATTCATACTTACAAGATTGCTTTAATTGGAGTGATTTGCCTGAAGTATTCCTTTATCTGTTTGTCAGGTAATCTTCGTGCTGGTTTTACTTTTGTACACTGTTTGGATTCAAGAAGTTGACCACGATATGCTGATACTGAAATAAAAATAATAAAAATAATGTAAACTTAAATATCCTTTCTCCTACTTTTCATTCACAAAGCATACATTTTTCACAAGTAATAATGCAGCTCTAAAATTTTAATATTTTCTAATCAATCGAGGGTAGATTAATGACCTTGAGAGTCAGTTTTGCCAAACAGTGTATCAAGCATGATAGATAGATAGATAGATAGATAGATAGATAGATAGATAGATATACAGACAGATAGATAGACAGACAGACAGACAGATAGATAGAAAGATAGATAGACAGACAGATAGATAGATATATAGATAGATAGATAGATAGACAGATAGACAGATATATATATATAGATAGATAGATAGATAGATAGATAGATAGATAGACAGAAAGACAGACAGATAGATAGACAGAAAGACAGACAGACAGACAGACAGATAGATAGATAGATAGATAGACAGACAGACAGACAGGTATGTAGATAGATAGATAGATAGATAGACAGACAGATAGATAGATAGACAGGCAGATAAATAGACAGGCAGATAGATAGATAGATAGATAGATAGATAGATAGATAGATAGATAGATAGACAGACAGACAGATATATAGATAGATAGATAGATAGATAGATAGATAGATAGATAGATAGATAGATAGATAGATAGATAGAACATGAAAGGCCAGATCCCTCCATCCCAACTGTATGATGCACAGTGGCATTCTGGAGAATTCTGGAGCAAAAAAAAAAAATAGTAGGTCGATTTGTAAGTGTATTATGTTAGTGTCCATGGTCATCACCCTTCTCTATAATAACCTCACATATTTTATCTTTCTTGAGAGTTTTGTGTCTGGTGACGGTGTGCCATATGTTTATGGTGAGTTTCCAGAGAAGGAAAATGTTGATCGTAATTCATTAATTATTATTCTAGTTAAAAGTGATGTGATTTGATGAATCTCATATTATTGTTAAGTGAAATCCTGACATTTAGTAAAAAATACCATAAATGTGTATATAAACTGTGTGCATGTTGCACTTTCTCCTACAGGTTTCACACTGTAACAGCCCAGGGTGCAGCAAGCAACATTGGAGGTATATACTAACCACAACTAGATGTAAAGAACTATTTTTGAGTAAAAATGTGGCTAGACCCAGACCTACAGTTTAAGTCTTTTTGACATTTGAGTGGTTTTTAGTATTCATTTCATAATTGTGTGTGCGAGGACTACGTGTTCCCTCCTTCTTCAGATACGTCGTGGATTTGACAAGGTGGGCTCTCCATAGCTTTGCTAAAGTTGCACAGACCACATATTGCTGAAGGTTTCAGCCTACACACGAATTAAAGCAAAGTTGTGGCTTTGTCAAAATGTACAAATTTAATATATGATTATATGGAAAATATAAAATATGATTAACCTTTCAAGTGCTAAAGGAGGAAGTGGGGGGGAGAGGGCGGGATAGGTAGTAAGATGCCCTGTAATATTTATAGCCCCTAATTCTGAAATTCTGATTCATCAGATGTGGAACACTGGAGAGGACTGGCTTACTAGCATGTCACTTTATCTCAACAAGTTCCACTTGATTTTAATTGTTCCTTTTGCTAAGAGTAACCTCATATCTCTAAGTTCATAGCTGAAAATGAATTGCAATGGACCTGCCATTCACAAATATTTGGTTAACAAGGTTTCCTCCGGGTAATTTATACAATGTATATACAAAGTATTTTGTGAGCACCATATAGACATACTGCATATGTCAGTAGAAAAACAGCATTTATGGAGCACATTGATTATGGGGTTTTCAAAAAAGCAGGTTACATTTTAGAATTTGATACTACAAGAATGATTTTGGAATCTAGATGAAGAACTAGTCATGATGATGGGTACATTGGTGCAAAGAAGAGAATATTGAAAGGAAGCATGAAGTTAGATGACATGGACGGACTAGCAGTATGGAGAAGACAACCAGAAGGACATTGGTGGAGAGAATACATACTGAGGAGATTTTATGAGTTGAGATTATATGCACTAAATGAGACTAGTGAGAAGAGAGACAGCTGGACATTGACTGGGAGAAGATAATAATGAGAGGACATTATAAGGTCAACTAAGATAAACTGAATACAACTAGCAGAGAAGAGGGTCAGATGAACTCAGGTAAGGGTTGAACTTGGGAGGGTCAAGAAAGATGTTTGTGAATAAGTACTTTCCAGGAATTTGTGAAAAGTGATGATACAGCGGGTCATTTAGACTTTGCTATAGAATTATGAGGCCAAGAAGAGAATAGAAAGGAACTGGGGTGCATCATGAAAGAAGAGGTTAGCTGAAGATTGTTGAGATAAAAGAATATTGTACATTGAAAGTGCTACAAAGGAAATTAAATAAGCAAGGATTGGGGGAGCATGATTTTATAAAGGTTAGTATATGAGAGAAGGGAACTAGCTCTTTAACAAACTGGAATTTACACGGGTACCACTGAATATTTGTAGTATTTTAGCTCCAATCTAAAAGATGCAAAGCCCACTTTACATGTGTTTTATATTCATTTCCAAATTGTCTATAGTTTTGGAAACTATTGATAATGCTTCTCGCTACTTACAGTATCTAGTCTAGTCACACAGAAGAAACTATAAACTATTTAGCAGATCTCTACAGATGTGGTTTTGGGCTAAAAACTCCAAACACCATAACTAATTTACCTGGGTTCCTCCTAACACCTGCGCCGTAGCCGGTCATCTCCAGCTAGAGAATCCAAATGTGTTTGTGAAGCAAAGCCCAGCTAATACCAGACCATGCTCATCTGCTGAAAACAGTCAGCTGACACTCTCAGCCATGGTGCACAGTTCCCCATGGCCTTTCTTTGCTCTATAGAGCAATCTGACGTCTCCTGCTGTAAAAGATAGTTGTTGTGAGGGCACCAGACAGGGCTCAGGTAAGTTGCCCATGACAATCCATTACAGGATCCATAACCACTACATCAGGCTGCACTAGTTTTAGTGTTTGGCGTATCTTTTTAAATCATTAATTACCCCTAGGGGAGAACCTCTCTCCTCGGAAATTTAGTGCATTGATTTGGGGAATTTTGGACTCTTTAGAATATGGAGCAATCTTTTTTTGCTTTTTAGCTGATGCCATAATAATAAAAACAAAAAAAAGATTTTAAGTGTAGAGTTTCTGGGTAGAATCTGGTGTGCAGAGATTTCATTTAGCTGAGTAAATTAGGTGGGTGTAACATAACCTAAGAATGGAACTTTAACTCTCTCTCTCTCTGTATAAATTAAACAGTAGCGTGTAACCACACCTTGTGTGCGGAGTGTGCAGGAACTTTAGAAATGACTTTGGTTTTTATTTACTGTGACAACTAATAAATCATGTCATATGGAAGATTGAACTAGAGAATGAAATGACACCTCAAACTATATTTAGGTTTTTAACTGCAAATTGAATCCCTCCAACCTACACATGTGGATAGATAGATAGATAGATAGATAGATAGATAGATAGATAGATAGACAGACAGACAGACAGACAGACAGACAGACAGATAGATAGACAGACAGACAGACAGACAGACAGATAGATAGATAGATAGATAAATGCACATATGTTCATTAGACAGAATTAAAGATAATGTCTTATTTTTAATTCTTATCACAAATAGTCTTTAAAAAAAAACAAAAAACTACCAGTACTTTGTTTTCATGAATACTTCTGTGAAAAATTTTTTTATTACTTCAAATGTCCAAAGGCACTTACATTAAAAGGCTACCTCACTGCCCAAATTAAAAAAAACAATAAAAAATAAAATCACTGATTAGTAGGTACAGCTCCAATGAAAACATGCATGCATTTAATTATGTCGTTTTTATGTTAGGGTATATCTAAAAAGAATTCCTGATGCAGCTCAGTGAGAAGGCTTTGCAAGGCAGATGCTTTGGACAATTGAGTTTAGCTCCACTGAGCTAACCAAACCAGGAAGTAATAGGACACCTTTGTCAGATTTACAGCTGGGGATGAAGCTAGATTAATTTATAAAAGTGCAAATTTCTAATGAAGATTAACAGGGTTATTCACTAAAATCCAAATGAACTCGTACCGAATGACGCAAAACCATTCACTGCTGTATGGGGCCGATTGGACTGCAAAATCATTGTTGATGGAATTCAACAATACCCGGATTTTGTAATTTGTTATTCGAGACATAAACTGCCTGAAGTTGGTCCAAATTTCAACTGGACCAAACATCACCAGATGACTAAAATCCGGACCAAATTATTATTATTTTTTTTTTTAAACGTGAACTATTTTTCTGCAGGCAGTGCTAGCAGCCAGCAAGCAAATAGTTCAAATAGTTAAAAAAAAACATTGGTGACACGACGGTTAATTATACGGTGGTTGGTCAGCGCTTGCTAGCTAGCTGCTATAATCCAAGGGATTCAATATCCTATATCATATGGGGGTCAACAGAACCCCTGCTAGAAAATACCCATCACATGGGGTCCACACTGATTTTAGTGGGGTAGGACCTAGTGTCCTAGTGGCCATTGTATTAATAATAAAGGTACGGAGCCCAGGTCGGGGATCTAGTGTAACCCTTTAATATCGTGTATGGTGAGTAAATCCACATCCATTTTCTAAAAAGCATGCACCTACAGGGTTATACACTGAAGTGGGGGTTTAAAGTGAATTCAAAGAGAATTTCAAATTAAAAGTCAGAGTAGCCCATATGGATCATTTTTCCAGTTCATTTATTTTGAACTTAAATTTGAAATTCACTTTGAATTTAGTTTGAATTGTCACTATAATAAATAACCCTGGTGTATTACATTCCAGTTAAGAAATTGATCATTTTACACCATTGGAAACACCCATGAAATTGGTTGTTGATAAAATCCACACTTGCTTTCTATAAACTATGGACGAACCCCAAGTCGATGATCTTTTGAGGCTATCAGTGTATGAAACAGACCAGCTGGCTCATTTAACTATTTATTTGTATTTCTATCTAAGAATAGAAGGCAGTTGTGAAAAATATATTACATAATAAGTGTGGACCTCATTGGCTTCATTAAAGCCTGAGTTTTTTCTCTTAAATGAAGTCTCAATGGAAGATCATCTAGGTAGTGAACTATATCACAGGAGTGTCTAGGTAACGTCTTACTTACAAACCACTTTCCAACGTTTTACCCCAAAGTATGGTAGAGGTTTGGAGGGTGGCCCATCAGCTAGTGCTCTCAGCCTATCCTGGTCACCCTTTGAAAGAAATAGTACTTAGTGTTTCTCTCAATGGATGTGCAGTGATAGGCTGAGTGCTTCCTTTAACGCTCTCAAACTATCACCCTGTCTGACGAAATTCCACATATAACGGTACAAGGGAAGAAGGAAGTGAGTTAGTTTGTTTACAATTTACTTGCATGCTGCCTGGTGTCTGTCTCTGAATAAATAATTGTTCAAGAAGACGGACCAGAGTGATTATATTTTATTATTAATGTTATTTTAATACCACAGGAGGCTCTGGGGAACCAACATCAGGGGTAAATCATTGGAAAACAGTTTAACCCCTGAAGGTTTTACAGTGCCTAAACATTAATTGGAGTGTTGCTTTAAATGTATTTTATACAGGGGAACAGGCCAGTATTTGTTAAGTCACCAGTTACTTTTCTTCCTGACACAGATTTTTTTTTTAGCTTTGGGTTTTTCCTGATTTCTGTAAGTTCCTTCCTTTTGTAAGTTTCCCTTTCTGTTTCTGTACACAGTTCTAATAGTAACATTTAGAACCTTTTTTGAGTTTAATACGCCTATCCCTGTATGTAACAAAAACATCAGCCAGTACTCTGGTTCTAAGTGGTTCTTTGTGCCCCAGTTGAGCTATTCTGTTATAGAGCCTACCCTATTTTATTAAAGGAACACTCTGATCACCAGAACAACTTAATCTAAATCAATGTGTTATTGTGCCAGGAGAACCCTGAGCGCAGTCTTACCTGGCGGCACTCCATGCTTTCTGTACCTAAGATTCAAAAGCCAGATACCGCCTGGCTGATCTGCAGTTTGGTGGTGGAGGAAAACTTTGGGGTTAAACCGTTCAAGAAGAATTTAACCCCTTATGGTAAGAGTGTGCCCGGGGGGCTCCTGGCACCATAACAACTTCCTTTAGAGGAAGTTATTATGATGGCTAGAGTGTCCCTTTCATGCCATATTATTCAATGTTTCCAGATTTAAAAATTGCCTAATGAAACATATTTGCCTTGAAAATTTTGTTGTCCAATCCTCTAACAGGCAGACCAAGGTGTAATAGTCATTATGAATTTTGTTTATACATATACAAAGTTTTCTACTATTTCAAATTTATTAAGTTGTCTAACATTTTTTATGCCATTAAATAGCTAAAATAATATATTTCCAAGAAAATTTAAAAAATTTGATAGATTATATAATACACAGATTTGGGTTATTAGATAGGAAATCAAACTGAATTTAAAATTGTAGGTTACACTAGATAAAGTGTGTTCTTTTTGTCTATTTTGTCCTACAACTTTGAATTCACTTTGAAATTCTGACGATAACCCTGTGAGGACCTCAAGGTAAAATTACATACCAGGATTCTTCATTAACTAAATTAGCTTAATTTATATTCAATGTATTACATATTCACTTGATGAATTTATTGTCATTATCAAAATATTAAAAAAGAGGCAACACCGCATCTTGAGTGTGAGTAGCCCCGAACCCTAAACCCAAATCGCAGTCATGAATATATAAACTCACCTTCCCAAGCAGTGACCAATAAAATAATTCCAAGGCATGAAAGTATTGCTATTAGTGAGTGATGCATCATTCAGCTTGTTCGAGAGCAGAATAAAAGACCGGAAGATGCTGCTAGCTGGTTTTATAGGGTTTGAGTTAGAGAGGTAACAATTTCTTGAAGGAAGGTATCTGGAAACAATGACTGAAGTGTCTAACCGGCCCTCCTCTTTTCAATGCCCCTCATTATAGATGTAGGTGGTCGATGAGTGTTTGTAGCAGTGGACAAGTACATAAAAAGTACATGACAGGTAGTGGAAACCACAAACTATAAACCCTACTTTCTGTAGTGGAAAGTTAAGGTTTCACATCTAAAACTAGCTCAATTCAGTTATTCACTGCACGAAGACAGAAATAGATGCTGGTTTCTATAGGTTCTCAAAATGAAAGTACTATTACATTTATGGGGATGTAGTTACTATACACACTGCTTGAGCAGGAAAACATCTCATTATCCATGGAAAAACAGCAAAGTGTATTTAGTAGGTAAATGTATTGGTCATCGTCAAGAAAAATTATGGAAAGTTGCTATTTGCAGCAATATACATTAATTCAGTTCCTCCGAAATATTGGGACAGGTGGTGGGGAGACAGACACAGTGCGGAATGCAACAGTTAGTTATATTTGCTGCCCAGAAGGAAACTCTCATCGATCTAGGGCAGATAGAGATGTGTAATACTATATGTAGTTCTAACCCTCATTTGAAAACAAACAAACAAACAAACAACAACAACCTTAAATATAAAAGCTACATAATACCACTTTATAGAAATGAGCATGAACTAACTGAAATATTGCACTGGAGCATTGAAAATAGCAAATACAGAATCTCACAAAAGTAAGTACACCCCTCACATTTTTGTAAATATTTTATTATATCTTTTCATGTGACAACACTAAAGAAATGACACTCTGCTACAATGTAAAGTAGTAAGGTTACAGCCTGTATAACAATGTAAATTTGTTGTCCTCTCAAAATAACTCAACACAAAGTCATTAATGTCTAAAATGTTGGCAACAAAAGTGAGTACACCCCAATGCTATAGCAAGTTAAAGACTTAGGACACATAAAATAGATGAGCAAGATGGGCAAATAGCCCAGTGGGCCAGTGCAAACTGCTTGTATGTAGATTGACTCTAGTGAGATCCTGAAAAAGGTGCCTTTCAGAGCAGTCATATTTTTGGATCTTGTCCTGTACTGGGATACAGTGAATGATAAACTCCCAGACCATGTCTGGCTTTGGGTTAGTAGTACTGGAAACATGTTAGTCTCCATCAATGGCTAGTTTCGGTGCCACAGCATGGTGTAGTATGGTAGCCAGAAGGCACCTTATATAGTGTGACAGCTCTTCCGAAAGAGCAGCGATATTGCCCCGAATTTAGTGTGAGTGCAGCGCTGATGGTCCATGGCCATTATTTTGACAGACAAGACCCTTTGGTAAGTCTGGTGTTGATGTACCGAATCATTTAATCTGGTCAGGTTAGTGTGTATGCCAACAATGTCCTTCTCCAGAGCCCTTAACTGATCTGTGATGGCTTGCATCTCAGATTTGAGAAGCGCGGAATCAGCCACTAGTAGCTTGACACCTTCATGTTTGGTGGTTGAAGCTGAGGGGTCAGAAGGTGTAGGTTATGGAGCCTGAGAGTTTAGCGGTGTCTCTGGTCCCTTGCTTTTTGATTCAGGAGTGTAATCTGTCTGGTCTGCCACTCAGACCTCTGCAATATAGTCCCAAAGTCTCTGCCATGAGCTGCGGTGTTGGGCTTTTGTGATCGGTGCTGCATGGTTGGCATACAGTCTTGCGTGGTAAGTGATGTAGGAGATGAAGCAATCCCAACTCTCTCCACAATGGTTCCGCCGAGGAACTCCTTGTAGCCTGGGAACGTCTGTGTGAGGAAGGCCGCAGAAATGCACCGCCGTTTCGGCTCCTTTTGGACAACAAAGAAAGGCATCTATCATGCACCCTGGCTTAAGAACGGCTAAGATTAAGAAGATTAAGAGATTTCCTGAGGAGCTGATGGAAATGGTGTGTAACCAGGATAGCAAACTGCGCCTCCCCACTTCATATTTCTAACTTAGATTTAGGTTGTACTTTTTTAAGTAAGTGTGTTTTGGTTTGTTTATTAATGAATAAAAATGAAAAGAGCAAAAATAGGATTAAAAGTGTGCAGTTGTACCCTTAAAAAATGTACTGTGCTCTTAGTGTTCTTAGTGTAAGGTCCCTGTCAAAAAATATTTACAAATAAAAAGTTTACAAAAATGAAATCTGTCATCATTTGCATATTCAGTGTGGCAATCTAGGAGAGTAATTTCCACAGCTAATCACTTCTTAATGCAATAAGAATCTTTATTTATTTATTTTTGACTCTTTCTGTACTCTCCCCAAATATCTCCATTGACAACTTATTTTCAAACTGTAATATCTTACCAATTGTTTTGTCATTTACAGCAAAGGCACAATAGTCCTAATATTCTTTGCAAACTAACTAATAAGTAAAATTGAGTAGATTCAGTGCCGAAACAGAAATCTCTTGCATTCCACTTTCTTTGTTTGACTTAAGAATTTTCCATCTGTAAGAAGTGTCTGTGTTTTAAGCCAGTTTTCAATTCAACTACAAGCCATTGCTTTCAGTTTGTACCACCAGAACATCCTTAGTAAAACCATATTAAATCCAAAATCTATCTATAACTGCAACACTTTGGTCTATAATTTTAAACTATGTACTTTTGCTCACATCTTAGAAGACAAGTAACATAGATGTGATTTGTTCTACTAAAACTACACTGACTATGACTAGAACTATTACAGTGTTCCACAATTTCCTGGCTTTGATTTTCTCCAATTTTAAATATAAGCACTCACTGCTTCACCAAGTTCCCTAGATACCATGGTTGTGTGCAATGTGGCCTTGGGGCATTTTTCATTAAACTGACACCATAAGTAATGTCAGGTAACTACATGTTTTTCCAAACTTGGATCCATGTGTACAAAAATTGGAACCTTCTTTTAAAGCATTAGTCAAATCAGCTTTTGGATATTCGTATTCACTGGATGAGTCCACTTGGAGGGACTGCTCCAGTTATCGAGTATTCATTACGTGATTTGGAGGTTTTGGTGATTTCGTTTTATAGGCATACTTATCAGGGAATAAAATGACAATCTCGCTGTTTATGATTTACATGATGATCTTCTACTACTATCAAAGTCTATATTTTCAAGACTTGAAGATTTATTTTGTTATGTACTGCAATTCGTCTGAATTTGGGCTGTATGATCGTTTGGATTCCCGAACTCCGGAACACTAAGCTCAAATGTTGCCAAGTCGCGAAACCAACGAAACGCGCAATGACCATGCATGTTTGTTTTGATTTGTGATTTTGAATTCCACCCATAGCGCCAAAAAAGAGATGATTGATGGGAAAATAGATGAATGATGGTTTGATGTTAGATGGTTAGATTTTATTCACAGATCAAGTGAGAAATAATCAACAGAAGTAAAAAAAAAAAAAAAGAAGGCGCACTAAAAAATTATATATTTATATAATATATTTACGAAATGTATATTATAAAATATGGGGGGTCTTTTTTTTACTGTTCTTACTCTTTTTCATTTTATTGGTTGTTATTTTTTCTCACTTGATCTGCCATTCAAATGGCGGAAAAAATGCACCTATCAGTGCACTGAACAATATATACATAATATTTATATTATGAATGTATTTTGCAGTACACTGATTGGCTCATTTATGTGTCCTTTTGGTTAGTCTGATTTATTTTCCTGAATCTTTTTTTTCGTTAACAATATTCAACTGAGCCGACCTGCCATATGGATGAAATTTGTAAATCCCAATTTTATTTTTTATTCTTCTAGAAATATAGAAACATAGAATGTGACGGCAGATAAGAACCATCCGGCCCATCTAGTCTGCCCTCCAAAAAGAAGGACTTTCAATCCTGTAGGGAACTGATGATTAACAGGTGGAACTTTGATAAACCACAGCTCCCTTGGTACAACTTGGGATTGGAGGGAACTCACTGAGACTCGTTAATGATACTACAGTCTCTGGAATGTGAATAATAATAACGACAAAGTATTTAACCAAGTAGGGTACATTCAGGGTGATGTTAATACTACCATTTAATGGTACTCATTTTATCTACCTCAGAAGGATGAGGGGATTAGTCAACCCTGCTGGGATTTGAACCTGCGACTCCCAAAGGGTTGAACAGATTCTACTGATGATGCAAGAAGTAATTCAGCTGAAACCAGGTAATTTATTCAGCAAAGTAAAATCTCTGCACACAGACTGCACTACACTTAAAAAATCACTATCTTTACTATAGCATCAGTGGGTTTGATGGCCCTAGGTTCTAAGAATTCCAAGTATCCTTAAATCAAGGAATGTCCTGAACTGAAGCAGTATCCAATGACTTAAAGAAACACTCTGAGCACCATAACCACTATAGTGGGCTATAGTGCATATAGTGCCAGGAGAGACAGGTGTCTATACATTGTAAGGAGTCAAACTGTTTTCGAAATTTGACTTCTTACCTTTGGCTATCGGGCACTGCATAGTAAAGATACCAACTAAGTAGGAACTTCTGTTAACTCTTTGAATCTTTACAATGGGTGAATGCTAGGGCACACCTGATACCACACTCAATGCCATACTCACATTGCTGTAGTTATAGTGCTTGGAGTGTTTCATTAAATGCATTATGTTATTTTTTTTATTAGTCCATCCCTTTAAGTCTACTTCAGATTGCCCATGGCAATGATACCAATTTCAGTGTGACTACCAGTATGTTTCTCTTCTGTTTTCTTTTATTGGGACTTCATCTCCATCTTTGCTATATCCTTGTTATATTTCATTCCATCCCTATACTGTCTTTCTGTATATAAAACTCTTTGTTTATTATTTTTTATTCACTCTTTTCTCCTTTGCTTTAACTCATTGCCCTCATGTGCTTGTGATTTAATACCCTTCATGTTTCTTGTATGCGCCTGTTTATAGCATACACTAACGTACAATACGCAGTAAGTACATACAATTTGATAGTAAGCATGGAGATTTATCCCTCATTGGGTACATACAGTTGTGCTCAAAGGCTTGCA